AAATCATTTGAATGTTAAAAACAAAATGTTTAGGGTCTGGATAATGTTATGAACGAAAAAAGTTAAATAATGTTGCTTTCGACAAAATAAATGTTGAATCAATATATATAGCAAACAAGAGTTCAGCATAGGAATGTTTTTTCGAATCTTACGGGAGATAAAGAAAATAACTGCACATGGTGCCTAGATAAGAAATTAGCAACATGGAATTATGAATATTGGGTTTATAAATAGAATATGTCACGTGTATACAGCCGCTGGATGCGAAATGGAAACATATTTTAGAAAGACGTGCATCAAGAATATTTCATGTAGTCAGAGTGATATTGTAAAGGAAATGGAGTGCCGTTAAAGTCTTACGTAATATCAGGTATGTATTTTTAATTTCTATTGTATAATAAATCACTGGGATAAGACGCTTTGATCAAATATTATCCCCTATACTGTTCCCCGGGCCTCAAGTCCTGTTACAACCCCCAAAAAAATTATCTAAAGTCTATTTCCACGTTAAGAATTCATAATAACAATAATATATGACACTATCACACAATTTTCATTATATCTCCATAGGCATGTTTCATGTTATTGTTATGAAATCTATTAATAGTAACGAATTGCTGATAAGAGATACAGGTTACTTTCGGATGGTTTGCAAAAAATATGGTGGCTGACAAAATGAAAAATATAGTAAATTTATATTTATAATAACAAACTTATTTTTCATGTAACAGGTTAGTATATTATATCATTAGAAAAATCATTTTACTCATATATTTTACATTAAAAAATGAATTAAAACCGGGTAAAACGTTTTCATTTTTTCTAGGTAAAGAGTTAAACTTGGTGCTAGAAAACTATTGAAATGACAGTTGAAAAGTAGCTGAACTTTCTTTTTTTAAAGCAAAAATTGAAAATCTGCTTATATTTCAAAAATATTAAAAATGATATAAGAATCTGAAAAATCGATCCACTAATAATAAAGTGATTAGAATTTAAAAATTCTGCTGCTATATAATGAATATAAATATTGGTTCTTAATCTGCTAACTTCTGGCAGCATGTGCTTGTGATGTCATCGTTCAAAGGGCCTATAGTATAAGTTTAACAAGGATAGCAACTCTTTCGCGCTTTTCTACCCAAATTTACATTTAATGTCATAACTCAGCCAAATCACTATATATTTTTACAAACTAGGTCTCGATAACTAGAGTATCGATATATGTATGCCATGACATCTTCCATATTAAGTGTTAAGTATTTTGTTTTATACTGAAACAGTCGGTAACCTGAAATCTGACAAGATCTGATTCACGTCAACATTGAAATTTTCACGACTGAATCGCTAAAAAGAGGCAATTATGTTGGGTAAGAAATATAATATTGATTGCATCTGTAAAAACCTAAACGATCGATGACACTCACCAATGAAAATCCCGTCTTTATCATCTTTATACCGCAGCTACACGAACAAAAATTTTTAATATAAAACGGGTATTTTCTTCGTCACTGCACACAAACTTTACCCGGAATACTCTAATTTTATCGTAGAGCCATGATCATTTAAACAATAAAGGTAGAGTGTTCCGGATAAAATATTTGTTAGGGAGGCATGAGAGAAGAATAAAAATTTCGTTGTGCATTTCTTCGTTTAGCTGCGGTATAAAATACATTTAGACGGGATTTTCGTTGGTGAGTGTCATAGATCATTTAATTTTTACAGATGCAATAGTATTTCTTACGCAACATTGCCTCTTTTAAGCGATTCTATAGTAGAAATTTCAATGTTTGATAAGAATGTGTGTTAGATTTCACAGGTTGTTTAGTGTTCGTATATAACAAAATACTTAAAGGGATACTCAGGCAAAAAATTATAAAACTATTAAAATGTTCCTATATACTACTCTTATCATACCTCATGACATTTTTTGAACTCCCAGCAATAATTTCTACGTAATTTTCTATAATATATTTTTAGTTTAGTTGCCAACAGAATCACCTAGTAGTTCTAAAACAAGTCTTGTGACTTGAACAAACCCTGGAAGTTACAATAACAGATATTGTGGATAAAGTATGATTGAAACAAGTTTAAGTCAATAATTGACATGTTCTTTAACGTTTCCAGAGTTCACGGTGAAAACTATTTTTAAATATTAACGCTCTAACCTGACCCACGTGGGTCAAGTAAGGAAACTACCACTTTATTATTCATAAGGAGAAAAGTTTTGTTCCTGTGACTGCCTAATGTATCCATTTTGAGGACATTTACAGAATACTAAATCAAAAAAACTCAAAACGGAGAAATGAAAATTTTTCCTGTGTCTTCCTATAACACTGCTTAATTTGAAAGATGTCATTGCATACATATATCTTTACTTTATTTATCGAGACCAAATTTTTAAAAATATATAGAAATTTGGCTGAGTTATGAAATTGAACGGGTTTTAATTGGTTGTTTTGCTGTTTTTGTTGTTCTTCTTATTTGTTGTTTTGTTTTTGTGTGTTTTTTGGGGTTTTTTTGTTTGTAACCTTTTTGTTTTTACCTTAAGTCAATAGTCGCAAATGTCTTTAAAAGTGTAATTTGTCGAATTCCTGAATATTTGCTGTAGCAAACATAAGGAAACAAAGTCTATAAACACCTCATATATTTAAATAAAAATGTAATCTGGATATCCCAGTAACAAAACTAAAATCCATAATGACCCTACATCGCTGACAAGACCATAAATTCTCAAAATGACAGAAATAAATAGTTTTTATAATTTTATCTAAAATAACAAAAATAAATAGATAATTCGGTAACAAATTCAACTCGGTGACGCCCAAATTTATTTTCGCTTGACATATTTCTTTGATAATTTTTTGATTTTGTGTTTATCTTAAATAATTTTTATTATGTAGTTAATTAACTTTAGCATACGCTGTAAAGAGGTTAACATTAATTATAATTTGAACTAACTATTGGGCCGACTCCAATTAATGATCTAATTTCAAAGTGTTAATGAGAAAGAAAAAAATGGCATATCTATTATATTAAAAAATACACCTTACTGTTGGGAATATGATACGTTCTAACATTTGAAAATTGCTTGTTTCAAACAGTAAGGGAATCAGTTACTTTCACGTCATGTGAAGTAAATGAAATAAGCTTCACAGAAAAGGTGAGAGTAGACATAATTACTTTTCAAAAACTTATTAATGGGGAACCAAATCGCTCTCTGTGCATTATTTTTACAGCTTTTACTGTTGGAATGCAACGTAATTAATTGATTTGTTACTGTTGTTATTGTTGCTAGTCGCTTTCGTCTTATGGAAGTGTTATTTTTGATGATGACGGTGATAATAATGATGATGTTGTAGCTGGTGATGTTGTTGTTGTTGTTTTTTTTTTGTTTTTGTTTTTTTTTAACTTTTTTAAAACCTCTTTATTTTTTTTATTTTTTTTTTAACTTTTTTAAAACCTCTTTAAAAATATTGTTATTGTCTTATTTGCTTTTGACATTTGTGCTATAATGTATCAAGTTCAAACATTAAAACAATTTTAAACAACACTACAAATGACAGAATTGGAATTTACAAATGATACTGTACATAAATAGATACCTTTCTAAATGCCAATGAAATAATAATGTAGAGTAAACGGAATTTTGTGTTTATACTACAATGTATTGCTGAGGTCTGTTGTTTTTTTTATTATTATTATTATTATTTGATTTTGCTGTTGTACATGTGTAGCTTTATGGTGATTGTTTTTGTTTTCTAGGTCGTCATTGTTAATGGTGTTGATGATTATGTTAATGGTGATGATCTTTTTTTTCACTTAAGGTGATTGTGCTTTGTCAGCCATGTTTGTTTTCAAAAAGTCTGTCCAAAGTGAAAGTAGGCCAAAATGCATATAACAACAAAGCTCACATTGTTATAAGATGAGCCATTTGCAAGTGCACTTCCAGTTCTATGTTTTAAAAGACTATTTTAAACAAAAATAAAAATGATTCAAGGTCAATATTCTTATTGTTATCATTTTTATTTTTGTTTATAATTGTCCTTAAAGTGTACTTGCAAATGGCTCATCATATAACAATGTGAGCTTTGTTGTTATATGCATTTTGGCCTACTTTCACTTTGGACAGACTTTGTGAAAACAAACATATTTTTATTTATTGTTTATTCTGCAGGTAGATCTATATAAAAAAGATATCTGAAGATAACGTAGCGGTTGTGAGTGACGTCATGAGGTTTTTACGGATCAAATTCGTGAGATACTTCACCTACGTGTCCTTGATAATGTGCCTGTCCCTTGTCTTCTCCCATATGTGGCTTGAAAAGTCAACCCAAAGTGTATTCTACGATGGACCCATAATGTTTACGAATAAAAAGCAAACTTCACAACGATCTCAAACTGCACAGTATTTGACAGACCCACAACTTAACCCGGTTCTTAGAACATTTAACTGTGATAAACTATTCAAGGGCGACAACTCAGAGATAAATCGTGCCAGTGATTACCTTAGAAATGTCCGGCATTTTAAAAACCGTGAAGACGATGAATTTAGAGTGTTGTCGCTAAACTGTGAAGAATACAAGAAATCCCGAGGATTCTTTGCTGCTCCAGTTACAAAATTAGAGCAGGATTTCCCTATTGCATACAATATTTTGTTTCATAGAAATATTGAACAGTTTGAACGACTTTTGCGTGCAATATATAGACCACAGAACCAGTATTGTATACATGTTGATAAGAAAACGCCAGACGACGTTTTAGAAACAATGACACTGTTAACTGGCTGTTTTGACAATGTGTTCATAGCATCTAAACTTGAATATATCATATACGCAAGTTATACGCGATTAGTTGCAGATATTAATTGTATGAAAGATCACATAGAACGAAACTTTGAATGGAAATATCTACTCAATATGGCCGCCAGCGAGTTCCCTATTATGACGAATTTACAAACAGTTCAAATATTGAATGAATTTGACGGAGCTAATGATATACACGAAGTATTCATTGATATAGACAATCAAAGGTTTAAACAAAAACATTTTACTTACATCGATATGAAGAGTAAATCTGGATACATCATACATACGAAAAAGGCAAAAGAAGATCCGCCGTACGGCTTAAAAATTACAAAGGGCAATGCGTATAATGTCTTCAGCCGGGCATTTGTTGAGTTTGTCCTCGAGGACGAGAGAGCTCGGGCTTTGCTAGCATGGTCGACTGATACGTTAACTCCCGACGAACATTACTGGGCAACTTTGAATAATCTGTACAGTAACCCATTTCTTGAAACACCTGGTGGTTTTAAAGGTGTGTATTACTCAATATTATTGTTAATGTTAATGACCAATGTGCAATCTGCAGGCCTCACGCTGTCCCGAAATTGACACCAGATGGGCATGCGAAAATGGAATTTTAAATATCGCGCGAAGGTGGCCCCGAAACTGGTCGACAGCCTCTCAACAGCCGAAGCGAGTACGATTCCTACAGAAGGTCACAAGATCACATCCGATCCACACATGCATGATTTCTACCGAAGATCACACGATGTCATCCGATCCACACACAAAGTCACCTCAAAGTTGCACATTTTTACCAAGAAGTTTACAAATTTATCTAATAAATGAACATTCGCCTTGTCTTCCGGCATTTTTTATTTATTTTCATTTTTTTATTTTTCATTTTTATTTTTTTATTTTTTTTTTTCATTTGGCATGCTTAAAATTTTGCGACCGCTCAAGAAGTTGCTGCCGGAGCCTGAAAAATAAAGCCGGGGTCGTACGTATATAATAATATTTATTATTTTATCAAGTTACATGTATTAGAGTTTACCTAATTCTGCTAAATCAAATTCTGTTTTAGGTAATCCTGACAAGAAGCCGTTCTCCGGGCGTTATATTGGGTGGAAAGCCACTACATTATTGTCAAGATGCAAAGAAAAACATTACGTGCATAACGTCTGTGTGTTCAGTGCCCTTGACCTTCCAGCATTAAAAGACAGATATGAACTCATTGCTGATAAGTTTGACATTGAATATGACCCGATTGCTTATATGTGTATGGAAGAATGGATTCAAAATAAAACGCTTAATCAAGAAGGCGTTAGATATGTAAAAAGATACAAGAAATTTGCAATAGCTAGATAATCTTTATTTATTTAATGTTACTCTTTCAGATTTATATTTTTAAGGCGACTTACATTGAAATAAAAATTAAAAAGAAAAAATAACGAATTTTTTGTCACTGTGTTTCAACTAGTTGTGTATTCGTCAACATGAATGTCTTTCAGAATCGTTTTTTACACCAAACCTCCTTTCATGATCTTCACTATCATCTTGTTCTTTTAACATAATCAGATGTATCGTAATCATCATCATCAATCATCATTTTTTCATAATCATCATTGATGAAAGTGAATATCATAAAAGGTGGTTTAATGTAAAAAAGAATTCAGAACACCCGGCAATCTGATTTGTACGAGGGAGGGGCATAGCCTCGTGTTTCGATGCTCTTTCTACTACTTAAAATAATGAAAGACAACTCGATCTTTACTGACTGAGATAGGTAGCTATTTGTTTCCCTTTTAAATGAGGAAATTGTACATTATTCCAACTAGGTACGAATGCAAATATCTAACCTCTGATAAATAGAAAATGATTGTGATATTTACTCCAGTATTCCCAATATTTAAAAGTTAAACAAACTTACGAACGATCCTATTATCTATAACGAGAATATGTCATTTCGGAAATACCCGACAGTCCAGTATTAATGATAACAAATAGAATTTCTTAGTTTTGGATTATAAAAACCATGACACCATGTATGTTAACTAATAAGAGGACTCACATAAATGATCCTATGTTATCTTATCTGTTACAAGTGGCTATCAATGTTTTATTTGCCGTTTATTTGTTTGTTTTTAGAAAAAGGAAAAACTTAAATAATTATGTTACTTATTTATTATCGAAAATATCGATTAAGGCCTAAAATTATTTGTCAATTGTTTGATTCATTTATTGGTTCGATTTTAAATTATGCATCAGTGGTATGGGGATTCAGTAAATCAAAGGAATTTGAAAGAATGCACCGCTAATTTATAAAAAGAAATAGTAATATTAAAGGTCGAAACAACGACATGTTCAACGGCTGTATATGGTGAACTTGCACGATATCTTCTTTATATAATGAGATAAGAAAAAATATCTAAATAATTGTTTGAACTGACTGAAGCATATAGTATAATACAGCACGCGTATAAAATTGCATAAGATGATTGTTTTAAGGGAAAGAAAGACTGTTTGTCACATGTGAAAAGGAAAATAATCTGATTTGATTATGGTTTTGCATATGTGCGTGATACGCCTGAAAACGTTTTTATATAATATATATAATTTATATAACAACGGATTATCGATAGTTTTGTTTAAGGGTGGCCAATGGGTAAGTACGAAAAACAGTCCAGTGTTAGAAGTATATAATTCTGTTAAAAGTGGTTTTGAAAATAAAAAGTTCTTGGATATTTTGCCTTCTAATTTAAGATATCATCTAATACATTAAATGTTGTCTTCCAATTATTTGAAAATTCCTACCGGTAGATACAGTACCCAGGGAATCAACGTTATTGTTTATACTGTGATAAGCACGACATTGAAGACGAATATCATTTTTTTTATTTGTCCATGTTATATTGAGTTAAGGAAATTGTGCATAAAATGGTATTATTATGTTAAACTAATCATGCTTAAATTAACAGAACTATTAATATGATAAAAGAACAATTCTCACAAATTTAGCTGTTAATACTAAACTTGCTATGACTTTCACAGCATCTGCTACACATATTTACACATATATAAGTTAATGCTCCAGAATAAAAAATAATGAATATTGCATGTTTAAAATATCATGTAATTCTATTCAATTTAAATAAATTAATGTATGTGATATTGCGAGTCGATACTTATAAATAAATAAATGTTAATCATGGGACTGTATTATACTTAATGTAAGTGTATCAATTTTGTAAGTATGTTACGATGAATGTGCCGTTCTGTTCTGTAATCTGGGACAATGCCTTGTTATTTCATATATGCAATGCAATTAAAGTGTATAATATGATCTGCTTTTATCATAAGTGGTGATAATTTGCGATAAGTGGCGATAACTGATATTGTATATATATTCATTAAGTGTCACGGAAATGAAAGTATCTAATGACTTTTTAGCCTTATGCTATATCATTTCCGCCTTGATTTATACTTTGTTTGGTTCATTTTACGCCTTTTCCCAACAGTATTTCAGTCATGTAGGCGGGTAGGTTCCTAACCATCGTCCCTGGATAGTTACACCAGTACTAGACTACCTTCCTCCGCGCTAAACTACCAAAGCATCTCCCGGGGATCGAACCCACGCCAGAGAGGTAACTGGATTTGAAGTCATCGACTCTAACCCCTCGACCACGGAGGCGGTGCTTGATTTATACAAATGAACAATGAGCTGGCTTTTATTCAACAACTCTCGTAATTTTCAGAGTTTTTTTTCCTTGGACATTTGTGTAATTATTTAATTATTTCTCAAAAGTAGTAATTCGATTGGTATAGATTCATGTTACTGCACGTGGTATTAAACACGCGAACGGTTACTTACAAAATAATCCCAGACTTGTTTCATTAAATTTGTAATAGTTAATGTAAAATTTAATTAGAAAAACAAATTAGTAACATAAATTCCAATGGTTGTATATATTTCAGTTTAACCTAATTTTCTTAGAAAAAACATTAACAGCAGATGTTGAAGAAATTTCTACAGAAGTTTTATATAATTGCTTGGCTAACTCCCGCGTTGCTGACAGGTTCAACCTCCGACGGTAATCTATATATTTTATTCCGTGTGATATTTGAAGATTGTAACACAATTCTTTTCAAGTTATTAGCTTCACTAAGTGTATTGAACCTAAGAACGTTGAATTTGGTATAAAAACATGTTTTATTTTCACAGACGAAGTTAAGACAATCGGGTTTGATTTTTATGTGAGGTCAAAACTCCTCTTTTCTTACTGTCTGTATTATTTAACCCATTACTTCATATACACGCCTTTTAACGCCTTTTTCACCCCCCCCCCCTTTTGTTGTCTCAAATGGTGAAAAAATGCATTATTTAGGCCCTTAACACTTGTTTTTGTTTGAGAAATGTTGTTAAAAAAAGTGACCAGTTTTTCGGCGCGGCCCCCCAACCAAAAGATACATCAGGGGTTTGAAGGGGGGCGGAGTCCCCCTCATCGCCAAGAAAATTTTGGACTTGTGAGAGGCTATAAATGACCCCAGATTGATCATAAGGTAACGTGTGACCAACGCTGAAAAGCATTTGACTCTATCTCAATCCATTGAGAAGTTGCAGCACTTTGAAATCAATTATGATGGAAAAAATCAACGCAAAATAGTGATTTTTGGCAATTTTGAGATGACCCCTCGTTGCCATGGTAACAGAAAATTTAAGCCTGAGCATGTTGTTGCAAGGACAAAGGTCCAGTCAACATTTGTGCCAAGTTTGATTAGTGTTGAAGCAGTTTTTATAGTATTATAGCAATTTGAACTTGTAACGGGAGACTTTTCAATGAAAACAGCCATTTTTCACAAAATGCTCATGAAGTAATGGGTTAAGGCACGGTATAGAGAAAGACGGGTCCTTATTTTGACCCTGTTATATTAAAATTTACAAGTACATCGCGTAAAATGAAACACAATATTTTTCATTTGGATTGCATAAAGCCATTTATCAACACAGGAAGGCTCATGCAGGTTCTTGCTCGTGTTTTAATTTATTCGTGGTTGGCTTGAGCAGAAACACTGACCTTCTATAACTAGTAACAGGTTATACTCTGAAGAAAAAACAATAAAAATCACTAATTTTGAATAGTTTAACCTCTGTCTTTTAATCTGAACATGTTTTCAAAACATTCATTTACGTGCCCATTCTTAATCAATGCTTACTAAAAAGCGAATTTAAAGCAAAAACAATAATCAACCATCATTTGCATACAATTTTGTGTTTAGAGAAGCGTCATTGCTAGCGTATTATAAATAATTTTCCTATCAAGAATGTGCATTTAAACATACATCTTATGAAAATGTAATGAGATTAAAAAGAATGTAATAAAATCTTCTTAAACAAAGTAAAGAATATATTTTAATTTAATTTATTAGTTTTAAATTAATTGGTACGAACACATTGGCGCAGTAAATATTTCAGCTTTTCCGGTAAAGGGAGTTTTCAGTGTGTTTACGTGCATTGTGTCTGGGATAATAACATCATATACATTTTTTATTTATAAAAATGTTGTAAAGTAGCTTTAAAGTGGGTGGCAGTGCTAAGTTCAGTAATATACAACCGTTTTGGTCGCAGCAGTCCAGTGGTATACCAGTGTGTAGGTCACTAGTTCAGTCCATCGCCACTCTAGCTAAAAAAACCTTATTTTCTTCCGGTAGAGACTTTTATAATTTTAGGGCCCAATTTCAACGTGTTTTTAATCATTTATAATTTATTTATTCATTTATTTATTTTTTTATTTATTTATTTATTTATTTATTTATTTATCTATTTATTTATTTATTTATTTATTTATTTATTTATTTATTTATTTATTTATTTATTTATTTATTTATTCATAATGATAATGATGAGAATAACATTTATTGCTTTCATCACACGAAAAACAACAAAATATTACTTGTACTGACACTTCTTTCACTTATTACTTAAATTGAATTGATTATTTTTCCCTATTTTTGTTAATCTATTGTATGGTTTAATTATCAGGCGTTTGGCATATTTGCTTGGCCAATAATGATCAAATTATCATAAAATAATCTCACCTTGATCACCAAGAACATAATTACTATCTAGCACTAGTTTACTATATAAATATATACAAGGTATCATAAATAGTCTGTTTGTTTCATTTATTGTATATAACTGCAAATCGGCTCTTACTCGGCAGTAATTAGTGTAGCCGCTATTTCATGAAGAAACCAGTGCTGATATTGAAAATTGTGATTGGCATATTCTAAATAGCCAGGTCAGGTGTTTCTAAAAAGGCTGATAACACTGTAGCAATGTGAGGATACATTCAAATTTATTACATAGATAATGCACGTGGAGCTCAGCTCGCAGAGACAAATGTGAACACAGTAACTTTTTGATATCCTTTAAACTCTATGAAAAATGTCAATTATTAATTGCTGACTGTTTTATATTTTCTAGAAAAAGTAAGCAAAACATTATTTTGTTTCATATGACAGGAATGAATTGCATCAAAAATACTAGGTATTGTTGAAAACTCATTGTTTTACATGCCAGATTAAGTAATTGGACCCCATCCTTGTTTGTACGTGACTGCTGGGGAAAAATAATGTTATGCTTAATTAAAGAGGTGACACTTTCTATATTTTTATCTGATATCGAGTTGTAAGAGCCGATTTGCAGTTATATGGGTAAGAGTCCGATAAGACTCCCTACGGTCGTCTTAATACGAACTCTTACCCATACATAAATCCACTGAGCGATTTTCATGCCGGTCGCCATACACCATTATTCCCCCTGTGTGCCCATTTGTGCTGAACAAAAAGGTACTTCACTTTACAAGAGGGCATCTAATTTAAACGGCAGATATTCTGTGTCAATTGTTCGGACATTTAATTGTATTAAAGATCCGGTATTTGTAACAGCACTTAAGTGAAATTTTATATTTGTGTATAATTAGTCTTCTAAAACATTTCTAACATCCAAGAATATGTTAAATTTTCAAATGTTTATAAACGTTATAAGTAATCATAAAAATATATCGCATTCATTTCTTTTCTGAAAAAATGGCTTAGACTTTATCGAAAATGAGTTTCTAATTACTTCCCTTTATTGACACAAAATGTAAATTCGTTAATATCTTTTCAAATAATGCTTTTTGGAACGTACAATATTGATAAATCTTCATTTGAGCATACTATTTATTATATAAAACCATAAAAAATGATTTACGGGATCTTTAATGTCTTATGCAGTTTCCGTTGCAAAATAAATTTATTTCCGGTATTACGGCGTCCTAAGTGTATTACATGTATATTATGAAATTAATCATTAAAACAAACAAACTCTTAATTAACAATATTTTTTTGCTTCTGTTTTTAGTACTACTAGTATTTGATGAATGCGATAGCAAAACATATGCGTGTCCGAGTGATTAACGCGTCTGATTAGAAATCTAAGGACTGCTGGCCGCTCGGTGTAAACCCCGTCAGTCAAGGGCAAGCCGTTGTTTCCTCGAGAAAGAAACTTTACGCTCATTATTTTGTATTGGTTAGTTGCAGGCACGGACTCCAGAGTGTTTCAGTAAGCTTGTAGCTTCCAACCCAATATCAAACTTAAATAAATTCGTATAAAATGAAACATATTAACTGATAAAAAAACATAGGGCACGTGTTTTCTATGAGAAAAATATTTATGTTAATTAAATATAGTTTGCTTAATTTTCTGCATGTTTCGTCTGCTTCACAAACTGATACATGATATCCACCCCAGATACGTAATACCGATACAAAAATAAACAGACGAGCGTATCCAGTATTTTTCGTTGTCATCGTCTGTAAAAAGAGCCACGCCCCAGATCTTGATCCTTTAAGCAATAAAAATCAAAATATAAAGCGGTCATTGTTTAAAGCCCCATTATCGAATAATTTCACATTCAGCACGTTTTTTCTTCCTGTGATCAGCTGATAACATGTACATTATAAAAGTTAATAAATGTTTGTATTAAACTCATAGTGCCGTACAGAGGGTAAACAATTTTCGTCTTGGATAGGAAATGTATAAGTATCTATTTATTTAATTATTAATTATATAATTATTTATAATGAAAGTAATACTTAGTACTACTATTTTGTCTACATATACTAGTATTTGTGGCAAACAAAAACATAGCAGAGATGTAGATAACATAAATATGTTATCTATGTCTCTGAACATAGTAATGGGTATTTCCGTATATTTCGACAAATGATAAGCTTTTAAACTTTTGTAGATAATATGCAAAATATGCAACGTTAAACACGATAATAATCGTCCACTATGGAATAATTACTAATTAATACAAAGTTTAGATTTTCATAAAAATAACAGGAGTCTTTAAGCGTACTGCTTTAACAGATCACCTGGCGCATAAGAGACAAACACCATACCTGTAGGTCACCGGTTCAATTATAAATCAGATTAAGCTACTTAAAAGTGCCGTAAAAATGAGAATTAAGAATCAACGAAGCACAGAACGCAGTCCCCGACATAACCCAGACACCCGGCAGGATTAGAAAGAAGAAAGGAGGGGGGGGCGCTTAAGATGTTCAATAATAGTTAAACATTGGAACTGACGTGTAAACAAAACAATATCAAGCAGACGACAAAACGCGTTTTTCTTTTTTTATAGCAAATATCAAGATTTGTGATTATTAAAGCAGGATTAAGGATGTCAACGTGAACTCATTTTCAGTTTTAAGTATATCTTGAGTGCATAATTATGGAAGAAACAATTAATTATCTCAAGTGCTTGTTTTATGTCGGAAACAATAGTAACAAAGAAAATATTATCATTTACAATCTAAAAAAAAATTAAAAGCGTACACATTTCTGGTTTAAGTGACCCCAAATTACGCTAAGATTACTACAATGCGATTACCAAACGAATAACGAATGAAATGTCAAGCTGGTATATAAAATTACACCACGTGCCCCTCTGCTTCTGTTATAATAAGAGTTCATTGTACATGAGAATTTTGGTTTATTTACACAGACGAGCATGTGGGAATATTCGTTAACTTCGTTATGATTATTAAACCTGGTATGTAGTAAATGCCACGTTAAGACTTTCATGTTCACTAATTTTCGGATTCTGCAGAGGAATTGCAGAACACAGGCAATCGATAGCAGACGACACAATATCTGCGTAATGTTTTAGGAGAATAAGTGATATTATCGATGGATCTTTATTTTTTGGCACCAAATTGCAGTTTTAGGAAACATAGTAAAATTACCGCTTGGATTTGTACTTTAACATCTGTGATAAGGAATCAGTAACAAAATCCAGATCGACGAAGGACTATTAATTTAAACCTTCTGTCATTTTTCACAAATGCAGACGAGAACTTTAAGGAGATAACGCACGCTATGTTGAATACTTATCTAATATTTGATCTCACAAACAGCTGATTTGGCGATTTAACATGTGAAATTCAACATGTAATAAAAAGATTTTCTTTTATTGGATTAGATCTACAATGTTTAAAAGTGACTCATTTAAATGTTCAAAACAAAATGTTTAGGGTCCGCATAATGTTATGCATACTAAGAGTTAAATGTTGATTTCGACACAACACAATGAAATAATTTGTTGAATAATATATAGTAAACAAGAGATCAGCATAGGAATGTTATTTTGTACGGGAGATAAAATTCGTACGGGAGATAAGAAAAATAACTGCACATGGTGCCTAGATAAGAAATCAGAAATCATTTATAAATACTGGATTTATAAATAGAATGTGTCACGTGTATACAGCCGCTGGATGCGAAATGGAAAGACGTGCATACGACACTACGTTACGTCAGAGTCATATTACAAAGAAAATGACGTATCCTAGAAGTCTTACGTAAAATTAGGTATGAATTTTTAATTTAATAATATAATCAAAAGTAATTCTAGAAAAAAAATATACTGTATATATTATATTATATATACAGTATATTTTTTTTCTAGAATTACTTTTTTATACTATCCCAACACTGTGCTGGGTCCCTGTGATTTAATCATGTTCAACTGATTATATTATGAGCCAAAATGTAATATAATGAACGTACATAAGCATGTAAACACCATGTCAAGTTTGTTGTTATTTGTGTGACGGGTTTTGTTTGTTTATTTTGTTTGTTTGTTGTTGTTAGGCAAAAGAAAATAAATTCCCAGATTCTCATCCCCGCCCGCCCGGCAAAAATTGCTCCGCCCGAACGATTTTTATTTTCAAAAAAAGAAAAAAGAAAAAAGAAAAAAAAGAAAAGAAAGTAAGAAAAAGAATTAAGTATTTAAGTGTATCATCATCTGTGCGGCCGAAAATCCGTCAGTCTCGGTCCTGGCTGAATAAATATCGGATCATGCGGGCCGAGATTAAATTTCTTACCGTGAAAAATCCTCGGGTCCAAATAAAATTTCTCAGAGCTAAAAATAACCTGTTTTGATTGTTAAAATGAAATGTGTTACAGAAATTTAACTATACTGAAGTTTGAACCACAAAAGACCAATTTTTGACAAGTCAAATATTCAAATAAACAGCAGTTCATAAACAGCATCGGTAAATTTTGCCGTAAATTACAAATTTGGAAATTTTGTTTTACAATGTCTTTTAAAAAAGCAGCTGAATAACAATCTATAAATACTCATAAAATAATTAATCTGATAAAATTAAAATCAACATAAACTAGAATTGTGAATGGTTATGCAGAAAACAGATATTTTTTCGTTTGTCACATATTTTCGCGATGCCGATTTTTATAATAAAAAAAGAAGTAACAAAAAGGAAGTCTATAATTGATAAAAATTGTCAAATGACACTTTAAATATGAGCCGCGTCACGACAAAACCAACATAATGGGTTTGCGACCAGCATGGATCCAGACCAGCCTGCGCATCCGCGCAGTCTGATCAGGATCCATGCTGTTCGCTATCAGTTTCTCTACTTGTAATAGAGTTGGTAAGCGAACAGCATGGATCCTGATCAGACTGCGGGGATGCGCAGGCTGGTCTGGATCCATGCTGGTCGCAAACGCACTATGTTGGTTTTGTCGTGACACGGCTCATATAGTTTATTAATTAAGTAAACGTACTGTATTGTTTACATTAGTTTAGAATGAGACATTAGCCAGTTTGTGTTGCACAAAGTATATTTTCTTAAGGGAGGGGGGTGTGTGGAATCACAGATATATTATACAAGCTCCATGATGGAATTAATCAAGAAGAAACAGAAGAATTGGGAGTCTCAGGATTTTGAAAATCCTAGTGAGGACCCTGATTATTTCTAATGGCCACATTTTGTTTTGTTTCTTCAGTGAAAGCCACAATAAGAAAAGCCGTCATTTTGACATTCACCCAGGTTGTTATCATATAATACTTGAAATGTCACGGCCTGAAATAATCATCTGAACTAATTATAAACAAAAGGGTGCCGGTCCTTGTGGCCTTAAAAATGAATTTTGCTTGAAATCTGAAATCTGCTTGATTTTGTATACATGTAATCTTTATAATATCTAGTCATGGTATGAAAGTGAAAATAAGATCGCTTTTTAATATAATATGTAAATCTCTGTACTTTCTTTGCCAAATTTTCAATAGCTTAGATGTTATTTTTGCAATGTAAATAAATGGGAGTCTTTTTGTGTAGCTTCATTGGTTGATTAATTAATTTACTCATGTAAAAGCACTATTGATCAGCATAGGCATAGTACATCTTTATTCAACTCCTTTATAAAATTAATATGTCTTATTTTGTAACAATACATTTAGATCTATATATTGTTGTTTTTGTTTTTTTTTGTCCAAACATGTCAATAATATGAAAGGTTCAATAAAACAGCTAGATCATTACAATCAAGATATATTATAATGTTGCTTCCATTCTCAATCTGAATAAATATATCTTACATACACATAATATTAGAACCTATTATATAGAACAAAGTCCCAAATATTGACCTCCCTGACCGAGAATGGAAAATAAAAAATAAAAATTAAAATCCACCCACCCGCCCCATTTTTTCCCAAAATTTGGATCAGAATCTAGTTATTTATTTTCTATTGCCTTATTGGTAGTTTGTTAGTTTAAAATTAAAGTTGTACCTTTTTTGTTTTTACCTTAATAAATGCAAAATTTCCTTAAAAGTTCCCTGTAGTTATTTGCCTTTGTAAATATTCTAATATTTACTTAACAAATATAAAGAAACAAACTCATGAGCACCTCGTATATTAAAAAAAGTATAATCTGAATATCCGAGTAACAAAACTAAATGACCATATAATGACCCTAAATCGTTGACCAGACCATAAATTTATCAAAATGACAGAAATAAATAGTTTTGATGATTTTATTTGGAATAGCAAAAAATATAATGTCAAAGGCAGAATATTCAAAAATAAACTCGGTGACTCCCACTTATTTTTCGCTCGAAATTTTTGTGTTATCATATTTTTAGATCGTGCAGAGTTAAAATGATTTCTATTATATGCAATTTTTTCTTGCATATACTTTACTGAAGCAAACGCCTTAAAGGAACCCCACAGAGTTTCAAAGCGCTTAAACCATTTTTATTACATAGACCGGCAAGGGCACCTTAAACAGAACGATTTGCAAACGATAATTAAGAAAAATAGTCTGAAATAAATTTAACATCGTATTTCTGTGCTATTATTAGACCAATTTGAGTGAAAAGGGTTGCAACGCTTTAACTATTGGTCATTATTCACTTGAATAATTATTCTTTAAAAGCGGATTGGGGGAATAATCTAAATAATTTGTCTAGAATTGAACATTAACCTCGAAAAAATATTTTTAGTTCCGTCTTGTTAAGAAAAAAAACTCAGTGGAGTCCCTTTAAAGGGTGATGAACATTTATAATTTGAACTAAATATTGGACCGGCCAGCGACATCTATCATGGTGAAAGTTCACTGTGAAAAACTGGCATTTCTCTTATTTCAAAAATTACACATCATTGTAGGGATTATAATCCGTTCTAACATTTGAAAATTGCTTGTTTCCCACAGCGAGGGAATCAATTACTTTCACGACATGTGAAGTAATTCAGAAAAGTGCTTACTTTTCAAAAATTAACAATGTAAGACCTGAATCGCTCACTTTGCGTCATCTCAACAGAAGAGCTTTAATTTGACTTGTTGTTGTTGTTGTTTCTGTTGTTGTTGTTGTGGTTGTTGTGGTTGTTGTTGTGGTTGTTGTTGTAAATTGTTATCTTATGATGCTGTTGCTGATGGTGTTGTTAATGATGATTATATTGCTGTTAATGATGATGATGATGATGTTCTTTGATAAAATTATTTTATTATGTTATTTACTTTTATTTTGCTATAAATGGTTCTTGTATAACGAGTTTAAACAGTAAAAGAGAGTTAAACAACAATACAAATGAAAATATTGAAATGTTGTTGTTTTATTGTCGTAGACACACTTGTCTCTATATACATTTTCAAAGGATTGCTATTTTTCTCTTAAGATTTTGTCGATGTTCCGCTTAAATTTATTAAACTTAGATTAACAAACTAAATTAACAATATACGTTTTGTTTTTATTCTGCAGGTATTCAAAAGAGTTATCTGAAGATAACGTAGTGGTTGTGAGTGACGTCATGAGGTTTTTACGGATCAAATTCGTGAAATACTTCACCTACGTGTCCTTGATAATGTGCCTGTCCCTCGTCTTCTCTTTCATGTGGCTTGAAAAGTCATCACAAGATGTGTTCTACGATGGACCCATAATGTTTACGAATAAAAAGCAAACTTTACAACGATCTCAAACTGCACAGTATTTGACAGACCCTCAACTTAACCCGGTTCTTAGAACGTTTAGCTGTGATAAATTATTCCAGGGCGATAACTCGGAGATAAATCGTGCCAGTGATTACCTTAGAAATGTCCGGCATTTTAAAAACCGTGAAGACGATGAATTTAGACTGTTGTCGCTAAACTGTGAAGAATACAAGAAATCCCGAGGATTCTTTGCTGCTCCAGTAACAAAATTAGAACAGGATTTCCCAATTGCCTACAATATTTTGTTTCACAGAAATATAGAACAGTTTGAACGACTTTTACGTGCAATATATAGACCACAGAACCAGTATTGTATACATGTTGATAAGAAAACGCCAGACGACGTTTTAGAAACGATGGAACTGTTAACTGACTGTTTTGACAACGTGTTCATAGCATCTAAACTTGAATATATCATATACGCAAGTTATACGCGATTAGTTGCAGACATTAATTGTATGAAAGACCATATAGAACGAAATTTTGAATGGAAATATCTACTCAATATGGCCGCCAGCGAGTTCCCTATTATGACGAATTTACAAACAGTTCAAATATTGAATGACTTTAATGGAGCTAATGATATACACGAAGTATTCATTACTATGGACAGTCAAAGATTTAAACAAAAACATTTTACTTACATCGATATAAAGAGTAAATCTGGGTACATCATACATACAAAAAAGGCCAAAGAAGGTCCGCCGTACGGCTTAAAAATTACAAAGGGCAATGCTTATAATGTCTTCAGCCGGGCATTTGTTGAGTTTGTCCTCGAGGACGAGAGAGCTCGGGCTTTGCTAGCATGGTCAGCTGATACGTTAACTCCCGACGAACATTACTGGGCAACTTTGAATAATCTGTACAGTAACCCATTTCTTGATACACCCGGTGGTTTTAAAGGTGTGTATTACTCAAGATTACAGTTAATTATGGTGGCTGATTTGGTACATTGAACATTAACCTATATCGTTATCGCCTTTCGTTTTGACGCTAGTGACAACACGACAAAGCGCCAAAAGGCGCGTTGTCGGACTTTCGTCTTGTCGTCCTGTCGCTAACGTTGTAAACAAACTGCGGGTTGTCGTGCAGCGCGTTATCGCAATGTCGCCCTGTCGCTTGGCTTATAAGCCGATCCTTCAGTTTAACCGGGCGACAATGTGACATTGCGACAACACGCCGCACAATAACGCGCCGTTTGGCGTACATCGTTAGCGACAGGCCGACAAGACGGAAGTTCAACAAAGCGCCGTTTGGCGCTTTATCCTGTTGTCGCTAGCGCCGACACGACGCACAAAAGCGTGCCAAATCAGCCACCATAGTTAATTATGGTGGCTGATTTGTTATTATTTTGCGCGTCACGCTGTCGCTGGCGATAACACGACAAAGCGCCAAACGGCTGATTATCGCCTTGTCGTCCTGTTGCAAGCGAAGCAATGCTTTAACGGCGCATTGTCTTACGGCGTGTTGTCGCGATGAGACATTGTAGATTGACACAAATGGAAGAATTTATTAACTGGCGATAACGATATTTGTTGTCTTGTCGCTTGCTAAAGTGTAACAAATCAGCAACCATATTTAATTTTATATGACCATCTATTATGCAATCTTTTTTATAAGCTTACAGTAAAGTTCAATTATATTATAATATATACAAGAATTACGGACCATTATGCATTACATGATCTTTTTTCTTGAATTTAACGTTTTACTAACAAGTCAAGCTAAAAAAAGTAATGCAATTTAATATTGCTATTCAGCACTATCTTATTATACATAAGGGTTACTCATTAAGATGAGCGGACTCTACATTTTATCCCATATAAAAAAAAACTAAACAAGTTGTCCATGTCCGCCGCTGAAAAAAGGCACGTAGGATAGGCACCAATATTGTAGTCGCGTATGAATTTACAATATTCCCACCGGCGACGGAATGATATGATGACCCTTGCGCCAAAATCCACATAACGGCGCAAAAACAAGAAAAAAACTCAATCTGATACTCAAAGTTTCTTTAATATTTATTGTTCTTAGTATATAAAAATGAAATCTTCGCAACGGTACATATCGTATATCAATAAGGGATATTCATTTTTTTCTATTAATAATACAGGATTTTCAGCTGTAGAAACGAGTGATATATGATAATTTTCATACCACAAGATGAAAATAAATCCTGTATTTCATAGAAAAAAATTGAAATTTATGTTTATTATATACTTATATATTTTTGTGACAATACAATTTGAAAGACTTTCCCTTAAATATTGTATATTGGCAGAATTTGGAAGAACGTAGTCCGGGAAAACATCCGTCTTAATACGGAAAATATTTTTCACTATAGGGAAATATTTTTTACAGTGAAAATACGGAAAATACAAATACGCATTTTATTTCGTCAAAAGTTTTTAATATTAAGTATATGATATTTACATTTATGTAAGTTATATCTAATTTTGTTACAGGTGATCCCGATAAGAAGCCGTTCTTTGGACGTTATATTGGATGGAACACCACTAAATTATTATCAAGATGCAAAGAAAAACATTACGTGCATAACGTCTGCGTGTTCAGTGCCCTTGACCTTCCAGCATTAAAAGACAGATATGAGCTCATCGCTAATAAGTTTGACATTGAATATGACCCCATTGCTTACATGTGTATGGAAGAATGGATTCATAATAAAACGCTTAATCAAGTGGGCATTATTGACACCAAAAAATACAAGAAAATTGCAATTACTAGCTAGTCCTTATTTATTGAATGTTACTCTTTCATTTTTTTACATTTTTTGAAGACGGGTAACATTGAAATAAAAATCTAAAAAAGTGCTGAGTTCTGTCACTGTGTATGAATACATTTGTCACTTTAAATATCTTTCAAAGATGTTCTTCAATATCATCTTGGCATTTCAAAATGAACAGATGAATTATCATTATTATCATTATCATCAATCATTATGCATTATTCATCATCGTCATTGACGCAAATTTAGCGGCATGCTTGTTGCTACCTTTGAACAAGATAAACTAAGACCACCATTGAAAGACAGTGCACCCAGTGACGCAAAACCCTGCGTTGTTCACGCAGACAGTGCTATGAACTCAAAACAGTTGTGCAAGTATATACTACCGTTGACGAAATTACTTTTTCGGCAAAATAATAGTGGTCGTCAACATAAATACGAATTGGGCAGAAACCGAACTAGCCACAACATCTTAATCCGTCTCATGAATACAAGATCTAAAAGATCATTATCAGTATTCGATTTCCTTAATCTCTTGATAAACTACTCTTTAAATATTACAATTATACTAAATACTTAAGATTTTTACAGTTTCAGTTTTTATTAAACCAAAGCATATGATATTCAACTGGTTGTAAAGCAAAATAATAGACAAAAATTAAACTTATATCACAAAGAAAGAAAACAATTATGACTAGCTAAATAAACAGGAGCGCCATGATGGCCTTGAAATCGGTGACCTGAATATAAAACTCTCCATGACAAGGAACAAGTTATATTGCAATCTTTTAACAAGAGCAGATATAAAATCTAAATCTAAAACTGATATCACAAAGTTCATATTTGTATCTGCATGTGTAAAACATTACTGGTTGCTATTTTTAAGTACATAAAAGTAAAATCAAGGACCCCCTGGGACGGTGCCAATTTTGAACTCGATGCTTTTATTTAATCAAACTTGGTTTACACCTTTAAGAAGATTGTTCATGCTTAATATCTAAGTTCTAACTCTTTTGGGGTTTATAAAGACGATTTTTGAAGTTTTTACTATATTAATGTAAGCAAATCAATAATAATTGGGCTGGGGGACGTTTGACTCCAGGGCTTACCATTTGAGAATGTATAAAAAAGAGAGACAACTCTGACTTTACTAACGGTGGTAGACAGCTATTTATTTCCCTTTTCATTCTGCACATTAATGAGGAAAGGAATTAAGTACATTGCTTACAGGAATGTAAATATCTAACCACTGTTAAAATATGTTTGTAATATTTACTCCAGATGTCCCAATATTTAAAAGTTTAACATACTAACGAATGATGATCTTATTATCTATAACGAGAATAGGTCATTTCGGAAATACCGAACAGCCCTGCATTGTTGATAAAAATAATCTGAATAATTACTAAGTTTTGGATCATTTAAAGAATGACACCATAATATGATGCGAACTAATAAGAGTCACATAAATGTTCCTGTGAAACAATTAACACATGTTGTCTAATCTGTTACAAGATCAATTAAAAAAACTATACTTTTTTATTTACCGTTTTTTTTACTTGCTTTTAGAAAAAAAAATCGAGCATTGTCCCCCCCCCCCCCCGACTGTGGCTCTTGTTAATTGTACAGGTAGTTTTAACATTTAGTTGTAAGACATTGAAAGCCTTACATTTGTTATTTATTGTCGCAAATATCGATTAAGGCATAAAATTATTTGTCTATTATTTGGTTCATTTGTTGGTTCGATTTTAAATTATGCATAAGATATATGGGGATTCAGTAATTCAAAGGAAATTGAAATAATGTATCTCAAACTTTGTAACAAATATATTAAAGGTCGAAATAACGCCATATTCAACGGCTGTATATGATGACCTTGCACGTTATCATCTTTATATAATGAGATATGTGAAAAATATTAAATAATATATATGTACTCATATATTGGTTTGAACTGACTAAAACAGATAATATATAATATTACAGCACACGTATAGAAATGGGATAGAAAAAAACTGTCACTTGTGTAAAAATATAATCTGATTATGACTTTGAATATGTGTTTGAAAAGAAAATTTATATTATGCTTTAAACAAGGGATAATCGATAATTTTGTTAAAGGGTGGCCAATTGGTGAATAAGGAAAACAGTCCAGTTTCAGTCGTATATAATGATGTCAATTATGATTTTGAATATGAAAAGTACTTGGATATGTTGCAATCTAATTTAAGATATAATATTACACAATTAAGTTCACCTTCACATTCTTTGACAATTCAAACAGGTCGATACGGTAACCAGATTATCGAGAAAAATCAACTTTATTGTATATACTGTGATAAACACGAAATGGAAGACGAATATCATTTTATTTTGATTTGCCCGTGTTATATTGAATTGAGGAAATTGTGCATGAAAAGTTATTATTATGTTAAACCAAGCATGCTTAAATTTATAAAACTAAAAATGATAAAAGAACATTTCTTGCAAACTCTATGTATATTAAACGTCCAATGACATTTAGAGCATCTGGGCTGAGTTTCATGGAGAGTCCTATGTTAATCCTAAACCCTAGGACTTATGACCAACTTTAGGAGAAAAAGTTTTTGCACTTAAGACCGTTTCAAGTAACTGTCCTATCTTTTGTCTTAAACTTAAGACTGATGACCAATTCGCTCTCCTGAAAAAAGTTACAAAATACAAAGGCACGCGCATAATCCCGGGTTGGATTTACTATGTAATTGATTATAGCAAGTATAAAAAAGTAATGTATTTCCCTCTTATCATGTTGAGTGAAAATATATACCATATTTCACGAAAAACGATAAAATAACCGTTTAATTTAATTTCATAGTAAAAAATGTTTACGAACCCCCTTGCTTGTTACGCAACTGCAATTGTACATCGCGCAGTAATATTATTATTTATAGATGCGTCTTGTTTTGCACGCAATATTTGGCGCTAAATTGTGACGTCATGTAAACAACTCTTTTAAACGCCTTTACAGCGTTAATGACTTAATTAAGAAAAAATATATCCCAAACAGTGATTTTATCGCCTAATAACATCACTGTTTGGAGTTCGGAGGCGAGGAATTATATCACGAGGGCGTAGCCCGAGTGATATAATGATGCGCATCCGAACGACGAACAGTGATGTTATCAAACGATAAAATCACTGTTTGGGATAGATCTATATTATTTCGATTCTAACACGACATCAACAAATAAATGTTGCCGTGCTTGTTAGTTAAGCAAAATTTCGCCTGATTTGTTTATATGGTCCTTTCTGTTTTGTAATCTGGGACAAGGTAATGTTATTTCATATATGCAATGTAATTAAAGTGTATAGTAATATGATCTGTTTTTATCATAAGTGGTGATAATTTGCAACAAGTGGTGATAACTGTTATTGTATATATAAATAATTATTTAGTTTCACAGAAATGAAAGTATCTAATGACTTTTAAGCCTTATAATATATCATTTCTGCCTTGATTTATACAACTGAATAATAAGCTGGCTTATATTCAACAAACTCTCGTAATTTGCAAGTTTTTTTAAGACATTCGTGTAATTAGTTCTAAAAAGTAGCAATCCGACTGGTGTAAATGCATGTAACTGCATGTTGAAGTTAACACGTAAATTGTTACCTACATATCCCAGACTAGTTTCATTAAGTTTGTAACAGTTAAAGTAAACTTCAATTAGAAAAACAAGTGATAAAGATAAATTCCAAGTGTTATATTTATTTCGGTTAAACCTACTTTTCTTAGAAAAACTTTAACAGCAAATGTTGAAGTAATTTCTACAGAAGTTTTATATAATTGCTTGGCATGTAACTCCTACGTTGCTGACAGGTTTAACTTCCGACGGTAATCTAGATAATTCATTCCGTGTGATATTTTAATTTTGAAACTCAATTCTTTTAAGGTCTTAGCTTCAATAGAATGCACGTTTTTTTCCGAAGTTATTACATTTTCAAACAATCCGGTTTGATATGTCGATGAGGTCCAAGTTCCTCTGTCATTTAAAGCGAATTTCGAAGGCACATTATGTCTTGGAAATGCTTTCACTTTTAAGTTTTGGTAATCTTTTTATGGTGGTATTTTTATAGTTTCCAACAAATACTCATTTGCTTTTTGGTAATTAGTACATTAAATTTATAGTGGTTCAGTATTTTGTATGGAAGTCGAAATACTGTTTTGTTTACACTTTTTGACACACTTTATTTTTATTTCGAGATATGTGTATTATTCAGGTTACAAGCATCTAACATGCTCTAAAACCATTATTAAACTTATATTTTAAATACACTCATCATATAAGTCTTTAATCTAAGTCTTGCTCTGATGTATCTTCTTGATTTCGGGCATCTTGCCTCTTACCTGTCACTGAAACAGTTCATGCTGATCATAATTCTAAAACTTTCACTTGTTCATAGCTACTTTTTTGCGTTGTAATCTGAAATTGGATAAGATTGCTCAAATAATTTGCCAAAGAGTAATGAAACTAATGAAATATACGCATACTGTTAAGATTCTAGCATAGATGGAAACAAAATCGTACACAGTAGATCAAGTAATATTAAAATAAAAATGTTTTACAAACGAAAGGCCATACAGTATATATGCGTGTTGATGTCTGTTATAAAATTATATTTTGTACAATAGTTAAAAGCTTATACATTTTTCGAGAATGTCCTTACCTTCTGGTCGGCAAAGAACTAGGATTGTTTTCTCACATTTTTTTATTAAGGGAACTGCTTCGTGGTGAAACGACTTAGTTACATCAATGTTGTTTATCTATCAAAATAATTATCAAAATATGAATAATAAGTATCACCAGTCAGAAATATTATAAAAATAATTAAAATGTCGAACATGTTCGAACGTCTTGTGCTGTGAAGTGGTGTTCGTTCAGAAAGAGATAAATTAACAAATATGAGATATTTCTATGAAAAGAACATTCGAAGCATTTTCGGGTTATGAAAATCTAATTCTGTATGTTTCTGAAAATAATTAAATCGTGTTATCTAATAGTATCTAGATTATGTCAGATATCGCTCGTTTTTATTAAATGTTATCTTTGAAATATGCGACAGGATTGCTCCTCTTTGTTTTAATTAATTCTGTTTCCCCCTTTTTGTTATGCATAAATATCAAACTTTGACATTATATCACTGAAATTACTTATGTAATTTCTAAAGTGGCAGAACTGCTTGCAGCACGGTGTGATTTTTATTCTGAGAATCATCTGGTAAGGAAAAACTCTAAATGCAAAGTATTATTTATTTTTAAACTCCTAAAATTCGTTTATATTTAACCTTTTTGTCCTTTTTGTAAGATAGGTCTCGCTTTGAACAGGTTATTAGATCAAATGCAAGGTAGAGCGATACGAGACAGAACGTTTAACCGTTATGCCGACAAAATAGTACACAGAACTACCGATAAGGTACCCAGTTGGGAACCGATAAGTGACGGGTCCAGGGTCTTGACAACATGTTTTTTATTTTAATATTTAAAAAAAATCATATATGAATACTTATGGGTCTTCTTCTTATAAGTTACGCGCTATCTTAAAGTTAAATAGAATGATGTAAAAATACCCATACTTTAAATGAAGACAATAAAAACAGTACAACATTCTTATTATTGTCAACAATGCTCAGTTTACTCGTTTATTTAATAATATGAGTTTCGCTTAATATTGTCTTATCTTAATACAATTATTACTTGATAAGGATATAACTGTTAAAAACCATTACGGTAATATAACCATTCTTTGAAAACTTAAGTTATGTCAAAAAAGGTTTTGGGGAGTTTGGCTCTTTTTATTCCATTTAAATTCATTATTTTTTTTAATTATTTACGCTCTTACCGAAATGATCTTATCTCCAAGCAGTATCTTATTAGAATTTGCAGCTGGTGTACCAGGTATGATTTTACTTACAAATAGCGATTGCTTATCATCACCTCTTTTTATACTTAAACCAATTACTCCAGAAGCTGTCTCTAGGATAACCGTTCTGAAATACACAAAAAATAAACAATTTATCCATGAAACAGATTTTGTTTTGTTGCACTTAAAATCGGCATATCTCTATCCCCATTGACAAGATAACGGCAGTAACAAACATGTGCCAAATATTTTATTTTGAAAGACAATGTGTACATTTTGTTTGAAAATAAATCATACTGATATTTCCATTACGATACAAGCTTAACATAAATATGACTTAGATACTTTAACTCAGTGAAACAAACGACTAGTATCTAATTTTTAATCAGCTGTGAAGTAGTCAATGACGGTATAATAGGTCGCTCACATGACCTGCGCTTAAGACTGTACCATTTGTGGGCAATTAAATCTAATAATATTTTCAATTCATATTCTCAACAGTTTTTAAGAAGACAAAAAGAGACAAAGACACATACCTTGGGTTCCTGATACCCTAAAATAGATAAAGAAGAACTCAAAGTCAGTTCAAAATTTAAAAGAAGAGATCACAGTCATTCAGTCCAAAGTTCTATGCCAATATTTCACAATTGTTTGAATTATTGTATAAGTATCTTTTTTGTAATAGTACCTTTACATTTAGTGTACAGTTACGAGCTATGTTTATCAATCTGATTAAAACCAGCTCCCAAAACGTACACTGTAGAAAAAGTATATCTGAATTTTACTTAGATTGCATTTTGTCAAGCTGTCATCATGTATCCATTTATGAAATAAATTTGACTTTCTAAAACCGCCAATAGGGGACTTAAATAATAATATAATCAATATTTTGTAAAATGCATGCTCACATATTTGTCCAGTTCATCATCTGAAAAACATAACGTATCTATTTATAAAATGAAACAAAATGAAATTTATGACAATATGAAGACATACTTAGAAATGCTTTGTCAATTATTTCCGAATAACGAGCGCTTAATGTGAAATGGTATTTGCGTGTCATTTAAATAATAAATAGGAATCATTTTGTGCTATTTAATCATTTTTCTTACCTTGACTTCTTCGAAATAAGTCATGTCCCTTGCATTTTTCAACTTCTTGTTCAATTTTATCATTTTTCAGAAACCTATATTTTGTCACAATAGTCCTTTTGCCAATTTCTATTAAATCTTCTTCTATTTCCTTTAATCTCTTTCTTAACCATAAGGCCGTGACAAAGTTACCGGTTGAAATGAAATTATTGAAATATACGCATACCGTTAACATTCTAGCATTGATTGTACGCAGTAAATCAAGTAATCTTAAAATATTTTTTTTACAAACAAATGGTCATACAGTATATATGCGTGTTGATGTCTGTTATAAAACTATATTTTGTACAGTAGTTTAAAGCATATACATTTTTCAAGAATGTCCTTACCTTCTGGTCGGCAAAGAACTAGAATTGTTTTCTCACATTGTTTTATTAAGGCAGCTGCCTCAAGTTGAGAAGTTACATCTACGTTGTTTATCTATTAAAATAATTATCAAAAGCTGAACAATAAGTAGCACCATAGTACCAGTTAGAAATATATATTTTAAAAAATGAGTGAGACTAAAAAAAGGATTGGAGCACCACACTAAATACCGTATTCCGGTATATAACGGGCAAGGCGCTTGAATCATAAAATGCTAAAATTTTGTCTTTTTACCCAACGGAATGAACTTTAATAGGTCTAATTCATCTTTTCACAGCAATTTATGTACGATAATGAAAAAAAAATGTAAAAATCGGCGAAAAAAACGATATTTGTCTATTTTGTGATCATGATTTCTGCAACCGTCTAGAGGTACTGCTCCAATCCTGTATTGAGTTAAATCCATAAAAAATAATAAATATTTCGCAATATGTCGAACATTTTTAAAAGTTCTTTGAAATGTTGTTCGTTCAGAAAGACACAAATAAACAAATTTGAGATATTTCTATGAATAAAAAAAAACAACAAAAAACAAAAACATTCGAAGCATTTTCCGGTTATGAATTATGTATGTATTAAAAATAATTAAATCGTTTTATCTAATAGTATCTATATTATGTCAAGATATCGCTCGTTTGTATTAAGTGTTATCTTTGAAATATGCGACAGGATTGCCCCTCTATGTTTTAATTATTTCTTTTTCCCCCTTTTTGTAATGCATAAATATCTTTCTTTGAAATTATATCATTGAAATTACTTATGCAATTCGAAAGTAGCAGAACTGTTTGCAGCGCGGTCTGATTTTTATTCTGAGAATCATCTGGTAACGAAAAACTCTAAATGAAAACTTTTATTTATTATAAACACATTCGTTCATATGAAGCCTTTCTGTCCTATATTACGTAAGAAAGGTCTCGATATAAGCAGGTTATAATATCAAATGCAAGGTAGAGCGATACGAGACAGAACGTTTAACCGTTATGCCGACAAAATCATAGCACGCAGGACTACCCAAAAAGTACCCAGTTGGGAACGGAAAAGTGACGGGGCTAAATGGTCCAGGATCTTGACATCATGGTTTTCATTTAAATATTTAAAAAAACATATATATGAATACTGAGGAGGCTTCGTCTTATAAGTTACGCGCTATTTCAAAGTGAATTAGATGTTAAAACATTCATACTAAAAAAGAAGCCAATAAAAACAGTATAACATTCCTATTATTGTCAAGAATGCTCAGTGTTCTCATTTTTTTATGAGCTCTCTTATCTTAATACATTTCCCATTATTTACTTGATAAAGATATAACTGTTAAAAAAAACATTACGGTAATATAATATTTTTTTGATAACTTGAGTTTTGTAATAAAAGTTTAACAAAGTTTAGCTCTTTTTATTCCTTTCAATTTTTACTAAATCATTTACGTTCTTACCGAAATGATTTTATCTCCAATCAGTATCTTGTTAGAATTTGCAGCTGGTGTACCAGGTATAATTTCACCTACAAATAGCGGTTGTCCATCAATTCCCCCGTCTATTCTAAAACCAAGGACTCCAGAGGCTTTCTCTAAGGTAACCATTCTGAAATACATGGAAAAAAAAATTATCCATGAAACAGATTTTATTTTGTTGCACTTAAAATCGGCAAATCTCTTTCTCCATTGACAAGATCTCGGCAAATATTTTATTTCTTAATTACTGAAAGATAGTGTGTAAATTTTGTTTGAAAATAATCATACTGATATTTCCATTCATAATTACGATACAAGCTTAACATAAGTATGACTTAGATACTTTAACTCAGTGAAACAAATGACCAGTATCTAATTTTTAATCAGCTGTGTAATATTTAATAACGATATAAGTATGGCGTTGGCATTACCTCCGCTTAAGACTGTACCATCAGTGGGCAATTAAAACTTATAATATTTTCAATTCATATTCTATACAGATTGCAAGAAGGCAAAAAAAGACAACGACACTTACCTTAGGTTCCTGATACCCTAAAATAGACAAAGAAGAACTCAAAGTCAGTTTAAAATTTTATACCAATATTTGACCAGTATTTTAAACATTGTTTTAAGTATCTGTATGATAATTAAACGTTTAGATTTAGTGTACAGTTATGAATACGAGCTATGTCAATCAATCTGATTAAAACAAGTTCTCAAAACGTACAATGTAGAAAAAAGGTATATGTAAACTTTAGTTCGATTGCAATTTGTCAACCTGTCATCATGTACCCATTTATGAAATAAATTTGACTTTCTTAAACCGCAAATAGGAGACTTAAATAATAATATAATCAATCTTTTGTAAAATGCATGCTCACATTATTGTCTTGTTCAGCATCTGAAAAAATAACGTATTTATTAATAAAATGAAAATGAAATATGACAATATGAAGACATACTTTGTAAATGCCAAAAAGACGCTTGTAAATTATCTCCGAGTAACGAACGATTAATGTGAAATTTATAGTATTTGCGTGTCATGACAATAATAAATAGGAATCATTATGTGCTATTAAATCAATTTTCTTACCTTGACTTCTTCGAAATAAGTCAAGTCCCTTGCATGTTTCAAGTTCTTGTTCAATGTTTTCATTTTTCACAAACCTATATTTTGTCCCAATAGTCCTTTTGCCAATTTCTATTAAGTCTTCTTCTATTTCCTTTAATCTCTTTCTTAACCACAAGGCCGTGACAAAATTACCAGTTGGCTCATTTTTCTCTATGTCGGCCTTAGTTTTCATTGATGATAACTCATCTGTTATATGAGATACTTCTACCTTAAGCTTCCCTAATGCACTCAAGGTATCGGTTATAATAAAACTGGCCTGTTTGCATGCATCAAATATGAGTTTGTCTATTTTTTCCAGTATCTCTTGCTTAAATCGCTCAGCATCACAAGTGAATTTTACATGTGTAGCTTTCATTTTGTCAATATTTCTATGTATTTCTTTCTCGTATTCTTTAATTTCGTTGCTGCAATTTTCTATTTCTTTAACAACCTCTTCTATATACTCATTTTCGTTCTGTCCCCTTGTCACATCTGATATATACAAAACTTCACATGTTTTATGCTCGTGTATTATGCATTCTCCGCAACCAACTATTTCGTGAGCTTCACAGTAGAAGTTTATTTTCTCTTCAACATGCTTTGGACATTTGTCTATCAATCCTACTGGCTTTATTTTTAAAGCAGATGGTGAACCACTATATTCTGCATAGAGAAACACGTGGTTTCTGCAATGTTTGCCCTTCCGGTGATGTTGAAAACATTTACTGCACATATTCTCTTCACATTCTTTACAACATCCGTCAGCAGTAATGTCGTCTCCATCTTCTGCACACGGTTCACAAACAATATGTCCTTTTCGTCCAGATACTTCCATTTTACGAGTAATAGTTAAATTCTGTATGCTATAACGAAATAACGAAACTATAAATACTGTATTTAAAGCTTATACACATACAACGCTTTACAAGTAAATAATTGAAATATCGATCCATAAATAGTGAACAGGTTAAGGCTTAGGCATTTATATAGACTTTATACAAACTATATTTATCATAATATAAAGAGTTTCACCTATATTACCCTGGATAAAAACTACGGCGCATTTACAGTGACAAAACTTTTTTGGCACAATCACAACTGTTTATAACTAAGAGAAAATATATGGCAATCATACATCCTTTAAATTAGACTAAATAAGTTATTAATACAGGTTTAATACACCTTTCTTTTGTGCATTCACATCTGCTACAACATGAGGACGTAAAATTGCCAACATCAATTGAAATATCGCAAATTAGGAAACTTCGTGAAACTACTTATTTATGTATTTATTTAGTTTTTTTTTTATTTCGTATATAAAATATTTTAAAAACTTTGTCACATATATGTCTTATCGATATCAACTATAAATATCAGTTCAGATTCAATCATTTGTTTAATGACAACTTTTGAAAATTGTGCATAATCATTTCGATTTTACCAAGGTTTGATAGTCTGATGGTTACCATCGTCGACAAAATTTTGCACGCGTCTTAAATTACGGACGCATTAATCACCATTTTAAGGATATATTTTACTATCAAATTTATATATAATTTATTTAATACTTTTGTTTGGTTAAAGATTTATATTGTCAGTTGTACAGTTTAAAAATACATTTAACGTCTGAAACGCTGATCTTACCACTTCATTTAGAATTTTAGATATTACTGTAAATCAATAATTTGTTGTAATATTATGTTAAAATGCATAAACGTCTACCATGACTGTAGTTAATATCTAAATTCGTAAAGGCGTTTGACTGAAGTAATGGCGCTATTTGGTTTTCGTAGTACAGTATGTCGATTGAATATATATACCGTCTTAATGTGAAATGCTTTATTTAAATATTTATATAAACCGTATTTCAAAAATCAATATCGTTGGAATAACTTTATAATACAGTTGTTTACGCAAAGACAGTTTTATGGGATTTAACTTTCCTTGTAAAAAATGTTTTCTAAAAGAACATTATATTAATTTAGTACATGTATTGAAATGGCTGTAGCGGAAGGTAATGTTTCTGTTTATAAAAAATCTGAAAACGTAAAAGATATTATGTGTAAACCGTGCATTTTTGATTGAAATGTAACATCAGCTAAAGGCCGTTGTAATGAATGTCAGGAGAACATGTGTGCTGAGTGTTTTCAGCATCATCGGAGGGGAAAGATGTGTAGGAACCATACGTTTCTGGATACTGCTTGTATTGCTGGTTCGTCGGCTGTGAACGAAGAATTAGGAGGTTTGTAAGATAAATGTCCGAAGCATGATCAACAACCTTTGACGTTTTATTGCGCAACGCATCGAGAGATTGGATGTAGAGACTGCATTATCTTCGAACATAAAACATGTAAAGTATCATGGATTACATGATGTTTGACGCTTGTGAAGAGGCAAACGATACAAAAACCGAGACTTTAAGATGTTTAGAAAAGCTAGAAGTAAATGCATCAAATGAGAGAAAAGCTATCTGCACTGAAAATGACATTGGAGATAGTGAAAAATGATCCAATACGTTCGCCAAAACAATTGAAAGATATAAAGGAAACTTTTGCTTAATTTGACAAAAATAATAGAGCTAGAGCATATACGTTCATTAGACAAGACACCATAGGAAATGTGATTGAAGGGTGTAAAGGACTTGACTTAATTCAAAGAAGTCCAGGTAAAAACAATTCTTATAATTATGTACTATATATAAAGTAAGATATCATCAATCTATTAGAATTTGTAGCACGAAATTTTTCGTTTACATGTCTTTATTTTTACGACCTGTTTTCCGAGTCGTTTTTTTAAAAGATTCTTTCTTTCCATTCCAGATGCCGAACATGACAAGCAAAACGTAAGTCTTTGAACACCTCTATGTTTAAGATGTTTGATTAATTTCTGTTCTTTTTCTTCAAACATATAAGTTTTCAAAACGGCGTTACCATAGTCGTTATATAAGATAAAGTTGGAAAGAGCTTTATGATCATCACTTTAATTATAAAGTTAGAAAATTTAAGTAGTGTTGTAAAATGCTTGAAATAATTTAGTTATTTGTTAATTTATTTTTTTCACAGGTAAACAGAAAACCTAGGTATGTATTGTTGTTCTAATCCTTAATATAAAAAAACAAACATTTTGTCAACATTTTGTAAGGCGCAATTGATTATAACCAATGGCAGTCAACCATATCAACAACTTATAGCTGTTCAAACAAGATATTAGTATGCATTCATTCATTTTCACTGAGAACTATTCTGGTTCCATCTTACTTTAAGCTCAGACGATTAAAGGATCAATTAGTGAAAAATGTAACAAATTATTGTAACATAGTATCATGCATGCATGGGTTTCTATATAGATGATATTAAATGAGTGTACGTTTAATACGTTGAAAGAGTTGAATAAAATCATACTAAGCGAGCCTCTGGCGAGCATTATATTGTTTTGTTCAACGAGTTAAAGAAATTAAGTATTTAATCTACACGAAAATACTACTCTATTTATCACATATATAAAATGAGAACGGTAAACTGTTTAAAAGAGTCAATTTTTTTATTGACGTGCCTCATTAGCGCGCTTTAACGCTACGTTTATATATAGTGCAATAGGCGTCACGTCAAGGTGTAATAACACAAGTGTAAAATCATTATTATTAAAGTTGCTTTATCAAAAAAAACGCGGCGCAGTTGTGTAATAAAGCTTTTTAATAAAAATGATATTACACTTGACGATATTACACTAGTGTAATAACACTTTGACGTGGCGACATTTGCTCTATAAAGGTAGCGTTTAAACGCGCTAATGTTAGCGTTACACTCTAGGCACGTCAAATAAAAATGACTCTTGTTAACAGTTTATCGTTCTTATTTTGTAATTATATGTGATAAATATAATTTTATATTCCTGTAGATTCAATACTAAATTTATTGAACTCCTTGAATAAAAAAATACTATGTTCGCCAGAAGCTCGCATGGACCTTTACTGTTTTTTGTAGCGGAACATTTAGCAGCACCTTTTCCTTTTATTGCTAGACAGTATCACAAACATAACCACGTGTTCGTTTGTGCAAACGAGGTCAACCAGTGACTATGTATTATCTCAGTGTAGCTATTGGGTATAAAGTTAGCCAATTTACATAAAACTGTAAACAGTGGAAAGGCCCATATGATTTTATTCAACTCGTTCAATACATTTTGTATTAAACCTACACCCATTCAACATACTATATTTATTATATTCCTGCGCTGGGGTTTATGTCATAAATCATGTATGCCTGAACAGAAATATATGTACCTTTTTCGCTCATCACGTAGTAATAAAATCCCCAATATATTTCAATATGTGTGCAGAGCAGAATTCTAGTTCAGTCTATTCGGATGCTCGCTCTGTTACATATTGACTGTTTTTTGTGTGTGTGTTTTTTTTGTCGTTGTTTTTTTTCTGTCTTTTTTGTCGTTTTTTTTTTTTTTTTTTTTTTTTTTTTTTTTTTTTTTTTTTTTTTTTAGGGGGGGGGGGTGGAAAAAATATCTATTTTTCATCGGATTCCCCGCCTAACAATCAAAATATAATATATGAAAAAAATATTGAAAATGATAGATATATTTATCTTTTTATAATACTGCACGATTGTAAAGTCGTTTTTCATTGGATAATCGTGAAGTTTATAATATTAGTTATAAAGATTTTTGACAGGTTATATGACGTCAAAAATCTTTAAAAAGTAATAATATAATAAAATATTACATGTATGCTATATTTTTCAGAACTGTGATTGCTGATACGTGTGTAAGGCTTTGATAAAAGACAAAGAATGGACTTTGACATAAATATTCAATAGAAAACTTTACCCATTGATATCATGCGTTGAAATTTTCCTATGTTGAATTTTATTTAAAGCCTCGTACAAAGTTTAGAAATCGCCCACCATTAAAGCATTCACTTGTACACTAGTGATAAGTGTCACTCAAAACTTCATGGTCGTTTCTGGAATAATACACGGATTGCAGCTGATGGTTTAATATGAAAATGATTGTGACAATGTCTTCAAGAAACAATTTCAAAATTTCCATTTTCCTTCAAAGACAGATCTGCCTAACGTAAATAATCCACAAAGTTACAAAGATTTACTGAGCTATACTTACGAGTGGTAACTGTAAAATATTCTGCACAATGTTTTAATTGCTTTAATCAATAAAGATTGTTCACTTCTATGTTTAAAATTCTGTCAAAAGCATTCACACAGACAAATTTTATACCATTTTCAGAACTTCAACAAATACCGTATCAAACATCATTTATTTTTCATGCAATTGTACATGTTTCATCTTAATAAGTATCTTACTTACGATAAGACATGTCTTTCCCCCAAAAAACATCCGTTTTTACTAGAATTTTAGTTTCAATGTTCTTAAGCACCAATCTTAGACTGCATAGGTACCAGTAATTATATGAAATCATTTTGACATGCAACAAAATGTATATACTTGGTGTAGGCTTACATAATTAAAATAGCAAGACTTAACAGTACTTCGAATACCGACAAAAAAGAAGAGAGTGAGCTGCTGAACAACCGGCCTTCGACCTTCTATGTGTGCAGGGATTTCCGACTGCATGTTAAGAAATTACTTACCGCGGAAACTATAATACATGTAATAATAATAATAAATGATTGCATGTAAGTTTTATGTGTATGTTTTGTATTTGATTTGTGCTTGAGTAAATCCATGAGTTCGTCCATTCTAGAAAATGCGAAATTGTCGGCTATAACATGTGAGGAGTGCGCAACCAATTTCAAACACAATTGATAGCTTAGTAAAACGCCTAATGATTATTTGATACATTGACTTTTTTTACAAATAGATCATGAGCAATA